AAATAAATAAAAATTTTTGTACAAAATTTTTCGCTCCGGACGTACAACAGTTTCCGTTTCCTAGTAATATTAGAATGATATAAATTATATTGGAATTGGTAAACATCGCCTGGGTCTTCGATCATGCAGCAGATTTGTCATATTTATTTGTTTATCGAATCTCGTTTTCATTATAGGTTCAAGGTTCATTTTCTCAGTTATTTCGGTCTTGAGGTATTTTTCTTTTTTCCTTTTTATTTTTATTTCTAACTTATATCTTTACACTTTGTTTCTTACTAACTCTATTTCATTATTTTTAGGTCTTTTAGCCCTTCCGGTTCTGCAATTAAGGTTCAGTTGTTTTTCACTTTACATTTCGTTTCTTATTTTTATTTTTTTATTTCGTTTCTGTTTCATATTTCGTTTTTCACTAATTTTATTTCAGTTTTTTTAGACCTTTAGTTCTTTCGGTTCTACAATTAATAAAGGTATGTTATTTATTTTTTATTTATTTTATTTATTTTGTCTATCTTATAATTCGTTTCTTACTAACTATATTTTTTTTACTTTATGGTTTATTTTTTACTTGGTTTCCTATCATTATCTTTTGCTACCCATCATCCTATCATGATCATTTTTTTATTTTTTATCTCTCATCATTTTCACCTCCTATTACTTCTTATTATTCCATTCTTTTCGTCTCCCATTATTTTCTATTACATCTTTTCATTTTCCATTATTTCTTTTTCTCTCCTCTTCGTCTTCCCATCACTTCTTTTTGTCTCCCATCGCTCCTTTTTGTCTCCCATCACTCCTCTTCACCTTCTCATTATTCCTCTTCATCTTCCCATCACTTCTTTTCGTCTCCCATCACTCCTCTTCATCTTCCTATTACTCCTCTTCATCTTCCATCATGTCCTATTTCTCCTTTTTTCTTCCTATCACTTCTCATTACTCTCTTTTACTCCCTTTCATCTTCTATTACTTCTCATTACTCCATTGATATTTCATTTTTTATTAGCATTTACTTATCTTTTCTTTTATTTGTATCACTTCATTAAAAATAAATACAGTGATTTTTTTCTTTAAAATCGTAAATGTGTGATTTAAATTTTAATATTTACAAATAAAATTTTATTAGATAAGATTATTTTGGATAAATATGCTTGCAATAAAATATTTTTTTTAAAATAGATCTTTGCGATAAAATTTTTAAGTTTAGCCAATCAAAAATTAGCTAAGTTTGAAAAAATCAGCCGTCAGCCGATTAATAAATTCTCTCTTTATATATTGTACATCATGTGACATATTTAAAAAAAAACCAGGTAACAATCGCCCAGGCGACGTTTAGCAATTCCCAATTATATTTACAATAATGTAGTTATTTATATTAAAGATTTGACGTTTAAGTGTAGAATGAAATTTGTATTAATTAAGGAATTGTGAAAAAATAAAAATTGATTAACTTTTTAGAAGTATTTTCGAAAAAACTTTAATATTGTGAAAATACTACAAATATTTTTATTAATTAATTAATAAATTTTATAATTATTTCTCATTATTTTATAAAAAAAATTTATGTAAAAAAAAAAACAAAAAAAATATTTTTATTACAAAAAATAATAAAGTTTATCAAATATTTGTTATAATCGAAAAAAGTCAAAAAGTATTATAAAAAAAAATCAAATAACAAAAAAAATTGTTATAAAAAAAAATTAAATAAAAAAAAATAAAAAAAAAAGTCATGGGAAAAAATATTTATATTATAAAAAAAATTATGTAAAAAAAATATACTCTATAATCGTAGCACAAAAATCATTTAAAACGTCAATTGATAATTGAGAATTGTGTTATCTGGCAATCTTGTACTACCAGATTAGATGATTTTAAAAAATAAGAATCATCATTAGATTAACAATAATTTCGCAACATAACCGATCCGACCTTCTTAGGATCGATGATTCTCAATTAATTATAATCAACTAGCCAGTATTTTTTTTTTGTTCCAGTACCCACCACAGAACACGGGATTGATGGGAACAAATTTGGGCGTATTAATTAATAGCATCACGGGATCAACAATCGGGGATCGGAGCATATTATTTATATTTGAATTTTAATATTAAAATAATTAAAGTTCTAAATTTTAGAAATGTAAGGATGCATTTGTTTATACGAGATTATCATAAAATGTTGTAAATCATCATTAGAATAACGAAGAAAAATAAATTGTTTCATTTATGTATTGTTTTAATTTTATTATTATTTAAAAAAAAAATACAATAAATTAAAAATTAATGTGAAAAATTTTATATGTTTAACAAATGATTGCCATTTATAATCAATAAATTTAATAATCAAAATCAACGAAAGAAAACAAACATAAATTAATGTAAAAATTATAAAAATTGAAAATTAAAAGTATATGAAACATGTGTGTATACGTTAAAATTAGACATTCAGGAAAAAAGATCAAATTTTTTATTAACTACAAAAGGACACATGCAAAACAATACATACACTATACCAACTGGCACAAGCAACAAACTTTCCTTTTAAGAAAATCACTTGCCTTTTAGTAAAATCTTCGATCTGGCAAGGAATATTTTGATCTACCGGAATGAAGGCTTTTACTCTCAAATATACAATTTTTGTCAGATCTTCATCACTCAATCTTGCAACGGCTGTAATTTCCTTCACTGTAAACTCCTGAGTAAGCTGTTCAGTGAATTCGTGAATGTAACACTGAGATTTTTGCGGGCATATTCTTTTTTATTTTAATTTAAGAATAATTAAGAATAAATTTTTATTTTTCACTAATGTACTCAAGCCATACATATATATATTTTAAAACTTTAATATTTTCACAGCCAACTTCCCAATTTTTCAATACCCAATGGTCAACATTAAACAAAAAGCCAGAGGCTTAATAATTTGTTTATTTAATTTAACTTTTGAAAATTTTTTTTCGTTTCACTTTATGTGGGAAGAACCTTAACATTAAAAAAAAAGGCAAAGGCTCCATGAAAAAATATAGTGTTTTCATGTGGGAAGAAAAAATTTTTTTTTGTTGTATTTCCATATTTATAACATCATGTATATCATTTTGAAATAAAAGTAAATAAAATAAAAAAAAAATCATTTATATTCATTACGTCATTTCAATGAATAGTAACTGCGGTTTAAGGAGGTGATTAAGCCTCAATATTTCCTAAGAATGCAAAAAAAAATTAAAATGTCAGTGAAATTAATTAATGGGGGCTTATCAATTATTCGTGTAAAAAAAAATTTATTTTATTTTTTTTTTTTACCACCAAATTATTCTAAGTAGATCGAAAAAAATTTTTTTTTTTCACAATCGATTAAAAAAAAATTTTTTTTATTTTTTTTTTTTCACAATTAGAAGATCACAAAAAATTTTTTTTATTTTTTTTGAATTATTTTATTTGATATTATACCTCAATATTTTCTAAGAAGGTAATAATCAATTATATTGCGGTTACTAAAATAGTCATTGGAGGCTTATCGATCTTTAATTAGATTAAATCAATTAACCTTCTTTTTTTTTATTTTGAACACGTAATTGTCTAACATGTAAACACGTAATAAATTCATTTTCGAAAAAAAAGAAATAATATTTTTTTTTCACAATTATTTATTTATTATAATGACAATTAATTATTTTATTTATTATTAAATTTTATTTATTTATTGTCAATTAGGATTTTCGTCAAATTTTTCCATAAACGTATATTATTAATTGTCAATATTTCCTAAAAATAAACAATTTTAACGTGGCTGGGATTTAATTAAATTAGTAGTCAGGGGCTTATTGATTACCTCTTTTCGGATTTAATTAAAATAATTTTTTTTTTATAAATAAAATCCAAGTTCGCCAGGTGGGAGGTGGGGCGCTACTCTACTACTCGATAATGATTAATGATTAATGATTAATGAGTAATGATTAATGAGTAATGAATAATGAGTAATGAGTAATGAGTAATGAATAATGAGTAATGAGTAATGAGTAATGAATAATGATTAATGATTAATGATTAATTAATGATTATTTAAAATTTCACCCAAAGTATTTCCTTAAACGTAATGGTAGATCATGACCAAAAAAGGGTATTTATTGCAAGTGTTTTGAAGATCTTTGTACGGGAATTGTATGGGAACTTCACGGAGTACATATATAAAAAATATAAAAATAAATAACTATTTACTTTAATTATATTACAAGGTACAAATAATTAAAATAGGGAAAAACGATGACTTGTTTTCTATACTACGATAACAAATGATCTAATTTTGGAATTCATACCTTGAACTTACCGATATTAACCTAAATAATCTAGAAAATAAAGACCAAAAAAAAACTTACGCTAACATGGAATAGATTAGGCGCAAGCAATAAATATATTACACAATTCAAAACTATTTATACATGCTAGTCTAAACGTTACGATTTTTTCATGTATTTTTTTAGTTATATAGATAATAGACAATAGATAATAGATAATAGATAATAGATGATATTCATCAAAATAAATTCCAAGTTCATAAAATGATTTTTGGTTTACCCTTTTTAACGACTCCCAATTTTTGTTCTGATAAATTTTGCTATTAGTAGACATTTTCTTTTAATGAATACCTTTTGAAAAACGTTGGTTTCCGCTTTTCATAAATATTAGCTTTGAAAAATTTGTAAAAATTGATCTCCAATTCCTTTTCTTATTATAGTAATACCCGAACTTAGTTCCATCTAAAAATAAATATGTCGGACACAAGAATAGTTTTACATCGTTACGGATGTAACATTTGTAACATTACATAAAATAATATTCTATAATTTTTATATACTTAAACTAATAGATTTATTAGGCAATTCCGTTTACAATATATAGATTTCCTTATATATACCACTATGTACAAAAAAAATATTTAAAACTTTACATAATAAAATATTTTTTTTTTTTTTGTAGTATTTCCATGTATATTTGTGTTTCAAAATAAGAAAAAATGTGTAGCTCAAATTCTTTTATTTATACACGTGTTTCAAATAATAAAAAGCAAATGGACGAAAAAAAAAAAAAATATATAAAAAAAAAAATAAAATAATTTCTTTGGAAATATATTTATAAGCAATTACAAAATGAGTGAAGTAATCGAAATTGAAGTTGATGATATTGATAAAAATGACGTTGATAAAAATGATGTTGATAAAATATTTACCTTCGATGATGTCGATGATAAATCACATAATGGTAAACCTATTACTATTATAGAAACATCACCAAATGAAAACTACCTTATTACTTATAGTGAAGAAGATCGTTCAATTGTCGGTTGGAATGTTGAAGATATTGATAAGGTTCAACTTAAATTTGATAAAACTGTTAAAATTGATGAAGATAATAAATATGAAACCGAAAGTTTATGTGTTTCTGATGATAAGAAACTATGTAGAATTTATAACATATCTGATTATCATCATGGTAAGTAATATTATGTATTATAAACATGTGATAATTGATACTTATTTTAATATTTTTTTTTTCTTTTTTTGTAGACGGTAACATCGATGTAATCGATATGAATAATAAAGATAAAATTGCATTAAGTTTTTATAAAAGGGTTGAATCAATGTATTGTACCTTTAATTTAAAAGGTGAATTTATTTTATATAGTGTAGTTAGAACTACTTTTGGAAATACTAAAATTATTTGGATTTATTCCACACAAACTAAAAATAACAAATGGGAACTTAAGAGATTTTACGAGATACCTAAAGATTATGAATTAATAAGTATATCAAAATATGATAAAGTTTATCTGTTTTCAAATGATTACATTTGTGAATGGAATATTAATACTGAAAAAAGTGTAAAAATATTTGTTAATAATAAGGATAAGAATAAGGTAATAAATATTATAAAATTATTATCAAACTAATTGATGTCAAATTATAATTAAATATATTAAATATTTTTTATTTTTTTATAGTTTGAAACAAAAAATATCGGGATATTCAATAATGATGAAAAGTTTATTTTTTTAAAAGTCAATGATAAAATCATCGTTTATTCAATCGAATTGGAAATTCCTATTGCTACTTTGGATATAAATAATGGTAACCATTTTTAATAAATTTTATTTATTTTATACTTTAATTATTTACTCATATTAAATCACTATTTTTTTTTTTTTTTTTAGATACTCAACTTTATAATTTTATGAATCATAGTGGTTTATTTCTTTTACCTTCTTTATTCTATTATACACCAGATAAAGAAATCAAATATTGCTGGAATAGTAAATACAAAAATATTCTTAATCAAACTTTACTCGAAGAACCAACTGATGATGAACCAACTGATGAACAAACTGATAAACCAACTGATGAGCAAGCAAAGTTTGTGTTTGGAATTCTAAATGAACGTGTTTGGAAATCTAAATTTTACGAAAATAAAGTTATTGAATGTGATGATGATGACAAGATAACTTACAAACTCTCAAATGTCCATCTATATATGGATACTGTATCTACATTATTTCAAAATGCCAAATGCGAAAGTGGAAAAAAATTAATAACTGAATCAATTAAAAATTTGATTAAATGGGAAATATATGCTGAAGATGATAAAATTAAACTAGAAGTTTTCAAAAAAATTAATACTAAATGGGAATTAATTAGCACGAGAATTGAAATTTATCCTTATAGATCTAAGTATGGTGAATATCATAATTTAATTGTGAGCTCATTATTTAATAATGATATTGTTATATTGACAACATTTGGTATTCTTGTTTATAATTTTAGTGAAAATAACAAATCTATTCATTTAATCTATTTTTATTTTATGGGTTTCGATTCTCATAGATATTATTCCGGTATCAAAAACAAAGCATATCTGAAAATACTTCAACATAATGAAAGAATATTTTCAAAATCTACTTTCCCATTACCAAATTATGACAGTTTTAGATTAAATGAATGGGTTTCAGTTGTAATAAATAATAAGTTAAGCCTTTTGAAATATGGAGTTGAATTATTAACTTTTACAATTAAAGAACATAAGTTAGAATTAATTGATGATATTTATAAAAAATGTATGACTTATTTTAAAGAGGATCCAATGAACAATAAGTCATTTTTAAGCATTATCACTTCTGCAATGCCATTACTAGATGAATGTTATCCAGAATATATTCTAAAATATTCATTAGAAACGAATATGATAATAGATTCTTCTTTTTATAGTATAGAGCATCAAAATAAAAATTTACATCTTTATTATTCTTTTCACCCTCCTCAAATAACTAATTTATCAAAATCTATTTTATGGACAAAATACCTTCATAATATTCGTTGCACATTGGATAATAAAAATTCATTAGTATTTATTTTGTTAGTTATATATGATATTATTCAAGTTTTAATAATACTTTTAACTTTACCCCTTTATTTGGCTACAATTTATATTTTATCAAAATACAATTTTATCAATAGGATTTATATGTTAGATGGATTTTCTTATGTTTATCTTATTGCTGTTGGAGGATTTAAACGCTTTCAAAAAGGTATAACAACAACAACACCAACAATTACTTTTATGATTCCTTATATTAATTTTGTTAATTATTCAAAGGATTATAATTGGTTCACAGAATTAATTAAACCTCAATCTAGTCCATTTACTAAATCAATAAATAGAAATATTTATAAAACATGGAATGGTGAAGCGTTAATTAATTTTAAATGGAATGCTTATGGAAGATATTATTATGCAATGATTTGGATTTTATTTATGGCTTTACTTGGATGCTTTACTGCTGCTGCAACAATTCCTCAGCAATATATCAATGAAGAAGTTAGACAACAACTTTTTATTGCTTCAATTGTACTTGGATTTATTCATCTGATTTTTGAATTTCGTCAATTTATTTATAATATTACTAAGTGGTTCTATAATTTTTGGAATATTTTTGGTAAATATAAATGTTTAATTTATTAAATTTACAATATTTTAAGAAAATGAAATTAATCATATAATATTTTAATATTTCAGATATAATTGCTTATGTACTTTCAATTTACACTTCTATTTATTGGCTTCAAACAAATGATAAGAACAATAATAATTATCTAATTCAATTACTTTCTTTTTCATGCTTATTTTTGGATATAAAGTTTTTGTTATTTTTTAGAGCATTTGAATATTTTGGTGTATATTTTGCAATTATTATTAGTGTTGGGAAAAAGATTTTTTCCTTTTTAATAGTCATATTCATCATTATAATAAGTTTTGCACATGCATTTTTTATTTTATTATCACCAAAATCTGAATTTTTACTTGATCAATATACAAATAATGATGATCCGAATAATCCTTGGAATTTAGCTTCTAGTTATAGCCAAGTAACTAATAATGATGGAAATATAAACTCCAATCCATTTACTATGATTCAAACACCTGATAAAAATACAAACATGTTTATAGATATTAGAACTTCTCTTTTTGCTATATATTTATTTTTAGCAGGTACAGTATATTTAAATCTTAACTACATATAAGTATTTTTCTAATATTCTTAATATTTTAAGTAATTTTTCTTTCTTATTAATAGGCGATTCAAGTGCGTTATCCAATTGGTCATATGCAGATAATCCATCAATTGCAATATTGATTGTTTTATTTTCCCTCTTGGTTGTTGTATATCTTATGAACTTGTTAATTGGATTGCTCAATATTGCAATTGAAGAAGATAATAATAGAGTCTCATATTTGATACAGAAGGCAGAAGTAAATAATATTAATATTGATCATNTTGCAATTGAAGAAGATAATAATAGAGTCTCATATTTGATACAGAAGGCAGAAGTAAATAATATTAATATTAATTATTCTATTTTTTATAAATATACTAATATTTCTCAATTTTTTATTTTTTAAAGATATTGGCTGAGATTGAGATATTTTACCTATTACCACATCAGAAACGTTGGCAAACATGGTTTCCTGAAGTAATGTATGTAATTTTACTTTTTTTTTAAAAAAAAAATATATATAATGTCAATGATTTTATTAATTATTCAAATTTATTTTTCAAGACATTATTACGCTGATGCTGATAAGACTCGAATAGAAATTGAAAGATTGATTAAAGAGGGTGAATGGGATAATAAGGAATTCATAAAGATGCAAGAAAAATTACTAGAAAAACTTCAAATTAAACATAATCCTATTGACAATAAGGTAATATTGGAGAAATTATCAGCATTAGAAAAACTAGATGAGAAATTAGAGAAATTAGATAACGAAGTTGGAAACATTAGAAAAATCTTACAAGATAGAGATTAATATTATGTTAGTTTTATAAATTTGATCACTGGAATTATTGAATAATGTATTATTAAATAGACCAGTTTGTAATCAATTAATATATATTGAATAAATTTATTTAAATTTTCTAGTAAGTTATTAATTTTCAACTTGCTTTTTTATATTAAATATGATATCAATAATTTTTTTTATTTGATAATTTAATGTTATTAATTTTATGTCTTATAAAAAGTGTCCATACTAAATTTATACCCAAATCCATATATAATTGGCTCTAGATTAGCTTAAATTTGGGCTAATTTCAAGCAAATGAGCCCATTTGATATAAATTTAGCATAAAAACTTTTTTGTAGGGATGTGAAAATAAAATTGACAAATATAGAATAATTTTTTCAGTCAATTACAAACAATTAAACTTCTTGTTAAGCTTGAATTATCAGAAGAACTAAGAAATGTTATTGTGGTTATTACTAAGGTATTCAGTTCGATTCTTAATGTAAGTAAAAAAACAAATAAATAAAAGTAATTAATAGTGAGGTACTCTTAGACTCTTAGTATAAGTAAAAAAAACAATAATGTAGAAAAATATCAGAAAAATATACGAGTAAAGAATAGGTAGGAAAAAAATAAAGAGAAAAATTTTATTAATTTTACTGTTAATTACATTGTTTTTTACTATTAAAAAAACTATGTCATTTTTAATAAAACACTATTCTATACTATTGAAAATTTCTCTAAATTTTTCATCACTCATATATCGTCACGAGTGCGTAGTTTTTTCACGTGTATTATTTTGTAGATCTATGTTTATTTTGTCCTCCTGATGATTTATATGTTGCTCTAAGACTGACTAGTAATTAATAGTAAAATAAAGTTAAATGAGAAATTAATTTTTTTTTTACTAAAAGTTGATAATATTACAGCCAGTAATTAATACTTACCTTTTGATGATCATCTTCCAACTCGTTGAATTTCTATTTTAGTGCTTAAGTTGCGATTTGTGAATGCCTTTAGGAAGACTTGCCTTTGTTCATAATTCTTCCATTGCTTTATGCAATGGAATATGTAATGATATTTTTCCATCGATATGCTTGTCATATTAAATTTTAGTAATTTCTTTGATAATTCATTTCCACATACTTAACAATTAGAGTAAATTTAGAGCAAATTAAGAATTCAATCAGCCTTAAAAAAAGGTATCAAAATAAAAAAAAAAGGTATGTATAAAGTCGTTATTAGTAATCTGAAATACTTAAGACAGCTTTTCTAACTTTTAGCTTAACCACATATCCATAAAAGATTCCAAATGACGATCTGCAACATGTCTCTTTAAAAAACAAGACATAATAAGCAGATGTAAAGACGTTTTGAACTAAAGTTGCAAAAAAAATTTGGTTTCTTTATCATTGCATCATGATTTATCAAAATCGCTGAAGTTGTAGTATTTTTGTCTTCTGTGGATAATTAAATGATTATTGTTATGACGGGACTGCAAATATTCATTAACGTCTGTTTCACTAAATTATTTATCACTTAAAGAAAGATATAACAATTATTGAATGCAAGAAAAAACGCATACTTTAGTCACCTTGATCTCCTACTTTATTGATAAAACTAGTATTCCCAGGTTCACTTTAAAAGCAAGAGTATTCCTAATTAAATTATTTATTAAATCAATTAAAGATTACAAGCCATTTATTTTAAAAAATCATCAACAAATCCTACTTTCTACAAATTAACGTCTTGAATTCAATATAAGAACTTTCTTGATTAACTTTTGGAGAAGGCCCATTTTGAGGCTCTGGTATAGTTTGGTCCAATTTTTCACATATTTCAACCGCCTTTAAAAATGACGACAAATTAATTTTGAATGTTTATTCTTTTTTCTCGTCAGAGATTCTAATCAAACTGCAATATTTATATGATATTTTCTTTTTGCTGAAAAATATGGGACAGGAAAACTTTACAAATTAACAGTGGTCTTATTATTTTTGTAGAATAATACTTTGCCGATTTTTTTTTTTCCTATTATTAATATTATTCTTTCTTTTCCTTTTTTTTTCTGTTTGTTTTCCTTAGATTTGCTTCCTAGCTTTATTGGGTTAAATCAGGCAGCGGATTCCAGTGTTCGTAGTGCGTGTAAATACAAACTTTTGAGCAAAGCCAAGATTTACAGTAAGAATAGTACGTGTAATAGCCCTGTTCAATTCCGGTCGGTCGCATTTTTTGGTCGGGTTTTGTTTGATTTGTCTGATTTGTGTAAAACATGAAATATCCGACCTTTTTACCCATATTGCGTATGACCGAAAATGCAACCTACCGGAATTGAAAAGGGTTAAAATTTCAGTGAAGTGTCAATTAAAAACGTTATGATAGAAGAAAATTAAGTTTTTTTTTATTATTATAATTATTATTATGCGAGCTGTACAATAACTGTACAAAACTGCACCGAATGCTTTACAATTACGTTGCCTTCTGGTTTCCTAAGACCGGAAAATTTTTTCGGAACTGGGATTTTATTTCTTTACAATTTCTATTATTCATTTATTTAAAACTATTTTTTTCAGTTATTGAAACAAAAAGATTTTTTCAAACATTTATTTCTTTTAGCTTATCAAAAGTTTTTTTTAATAGATTTATTTATTTCCTTTTGGTTTTTTTTTGAGTCAGAATTTTTTTTGAAAAAATTTATTTCTTTCTTTTCGGTTCTTTTGAATCAAAATAGTTTTTTTAAAAAACAAATTTTTTTATTGTACCGGAATTATTAATTTTTATTTAAATTTTAATTATTTTTTTTACAAATTTTTATTATCTTTTCAGTTTTGTTAACTGAATTATTTTTTTAGATTCTTTTTTTTTATTTTTATTATCTTAAAAATATTCATTTTTATTTTTCAAAACGTCCTTTTCTTTTTTTTTTTATTTTTTATCTGGTACTTCGGAACCAGACTTTTATTTATTTATTTATTTATTTATTTATTGTGTTCTTCTTTAAGCAGAAGATTTGGGATCAGTGTCAATTCATTAGGTTTAGCATGATGCTGGGCACTATGGTAAGCACTGATTAATTTCAAACGTTTATGATGACTAATCAGTAATCAATATTACCCGCCATATTTAACGTCTATTTGTTATTAAAAAGTTTTAATTATAAAATTATTTATTTTTATTATGTATTAAGAAAAAAAAGGATCGACTGGTTAAGTTCTGTCAAATTTATTCGAGATAATTTTTTTTATTATATTTATTATAAAAAACGCATTTTTTTTTTTACTTTATTTATTTATTTATTTGTTAGTAAACGCACATAAATAATTGTATACGAAAGTGCCTAAGTCGCACGTAATCGCACGTCATATATTTATTTATTTGAAACGTTATAAAATGATAATACAGCAATACACACGCGTAATATTATTTCAAATTTTCAATTAATAAATCTAAATCTATAATTATCTTGTAACTTTATAAATTGTTAATAAAACGTTGAACATAAACTGTTGTAAAAGTTGGAATCGAGGAAAGTTTATAATTTCTTAATGAAGGTTCAATAAATGCAGGAAAAACTAATAAATTTATAATTAATAATAAACCCCATTTTAAAAAATCTTTTAACTGTTGTAATCTCATTCTTCTTTTCATAACCAAATATAGCTTCCCATAATATAAATATTACACCATGAATCATAAAGAAAAATGTTTGTTCACCTGCCCAAATATTATAATTTCCAATAATAATATATTCATGTAATAAAGAACTAATAGCAAAAGCACCCAATACTCCCATCATATTTGCAATTTTTCTTGGAACAAATGTAGTTAATAAATTCCTAACTGGTAAAAGGCAAGTTCCTTAAAAGTTTCATTAAGGAATAATTGCCATATATATATATATATATCCAACGAGTAGACCAAAAATCACGAGGACTTGATGCCATCCATGGTTGATTAAATAAAGATTTTGTATTGAATATAAAAGTCATCATCCATTCTTTTAAAGAAACATATTCTGTAAGGGTGAGAAGACCATGTTGAATTAAAATGGGCTTGTATTGATTTTTTTCTGAAGTGGAATGAAAAATAAACGAAAGATGATTGCAATAATGAAAACAAAGACATAATATTTTATTGAAGTCATAAATACACGTTTGCAAAAAAATGCGTAAAATTGAAGGTATTGTAATAGGAATAATTCTTTTTGTAAAAAATTTTAATAAACGAACTTGATAAACTTTTTCCGGAATTTCTATTGCCCATTTGGTTGAAATTATGTAAGTAGAAGATGTAAATTCCAATATTAACCATTTCGCGATGATGATTATGAAGCATTTGAATAATTTTTTGTTAATTTGTGAGGCTGTGGGTGATTTAATACTTAAGGATTTCTCTTTTTCATTTGAATTTTCCAAATTTGGAGGAATTATATGAGAATCAACCGCTAATTAAATAATGACCAAAGGTACGATTTAAATTCTTTTAAATTCTTTGGATTTTTGTATGTCCTATGAAATTTTAAGAATAAGAACATTTTATTCCATAATTTGAAGCAATAATTACAGATTTATTGTGAAGTGGAAGTTTATTCCCACAATAAATTAATGGAATTGATACAAATAAAAGTGCAAGAGATAATAATACGTAAAAACGTTTCTTTGTTCGAATTGGTTAAAATGTAAGTGATATGAATAATAACATTGGAGTAAAAAATATTGAAGAATAAACTGAATTGAGTAGTTCAGGGGGGAATTTTTGCCATATTGATAAAGGTGAATTGACGATAAAATTTAATGTACGAGCAATAGTTATCGATAATGATACATAAACCAGATTTGATTTTGCGAAAATTTTAAATTGAGAAGTTGATGACATTTTGGGTGTAGTGTCTACGTGTGTAGTCTATAACTTAATGAAGTGTTGAAATATGCCGATATGCTCTATGATGTTCTGTATGTTATATTTACGAAAAAAATGACAAAAATGCAAAATATCTATAAAGATAATGTGTATATTGAGAATTTAAAATTTTATATAAATCTATTTTTTTAATCGCTTGTTGAAAAATTTTTTTTTGAATTTCATCGTTCTATATATACTTATTTTCTCGGAGTATTAAAAATATGATGTGGACCAAAAATTACGAGAGTTCCTATTTGATTTGATTGTGTTCGATGACGTGTGTACATGTACCTTGATTGATCACTATAAATAGCCAGACATTATTATTGGCGTGAACAAACATTACCCAGTAGATCTTCACTATTGCTTCCCATTATAGGTAAATCAGCCATAGTGATCTACATTATTTAAAATTACTAATTTTAACCTGTAACCGGTTTTCTATTGACTCTACATTTACCATATATATTCCGATGAAACATTTAATGGTCATACATCGGAGTTTTATATAAAATGTACTTCATTATTTATTAGTATCATTATTATTATTTTTTTTGTTTATTCAAAAAAAAAAAAAAAAATGTCCAAACTTAATAAAGATATTCTTTTTTTGTTATTTGAAGAATTACAAGATAATTCAAAATTCCTCTTTTCATGCCTAATGGTTAATAGAAAATGGTGTGAAACCGTTATTCCAATCTTATGGAGGAATCCTTGGCGCTATTCTATTAATTATAAAAAAATTTCTTTATACTCCATTATTATTTCTTATTTATCCAATGATATTAAAGAATTCTTAACAAAGAAAGGGATTCTAATTTTAAACCAATCACTTACATTTGATTATTTGTCTTTCTGTAGAAATATCGATATAAAAGTTATAGATGATATAATTTCCATTGGATCATCATTAGTATATAATCGATTTCTTTTACAAGAGGAAATTTACAGTTTATTGATAAAGAAATGTCCAGAGATAAAGTACTTAAATATATGTGGTACCTATGAGATAGTATATCCTCCAGAAGCAAAGGTTCGTCTTGAATCACTTTGTGAATTAACATGCGACACATTGATTGATACTAGGTACTTTTACAGATTAGCGCAAATTTGTCAACAAATACAAAGAATTATCATTATTAATAAAAACTTAGTAAAAGTTAATCATGGAACTACTAAGTTAATCGAATTTCAAAAAAATTTAAAATATTTTAAATGGGTAGATGAATTTAAAGAAGATTATTATTGGGAATTATTGGAAGATCCTTATACAGAAATTTTTAACGTATTAAAAAAACATACAAATACTCTTAATCATTTTGATATAAACCTTCATTATGAGTATTCCATTACTGATTATTACGATATTTACGATGATTTTGATTATACATTTTTACAATATGCACTCCTAGAATTTCATAATTTAAAAATATTAGAAATTAATTCTCCTATATTTCTAAATAATGATAACTTCAATAAAAAATTGGAAATGGTGGCTTATCGTAACCTTGAGATCCTAAAGATAGATTTTATAGATATTTATCAAGTTAATTGCATGGTTAAAAATAGCTTATGTCTTAGAGAATTAAGGATCAATGAATTTCACTGGAATGATGATGATGATAATTTTTATAATGACTCTCTTAATTTTATTCGTACAATTTGTGAAAATTGTTATTTAATTGAATATTTAACAATTCCTGTATTTCCATCATCGGAGAATCACTTTATTGAATTTGAAAAATTACTTAAAAAATGTCAAAAATTACGATCATTAAATTTTAAAGAAGCATATTATGAAGCAGGGAGAGACTTAGAATTTGAAGATTACTTGTTAAATGTGTTAATTAGGGAAGCATCAGCAAATCTAAGAGAAATTAGAATTCCTTATGACATTATGTTATCTTTAAAAACTTTAGAAACATTCCTTGAAAAGTGGAAAGGACGACCTGCAGTTTCCTTATATTTTAATAACACTTATTTTTATCAAAAAGATAATTCATATATGAAACTGTTTGATAAATATAAAATTGAAAAAGTTATTAAAGATATAAACGTTTAGATAATTCAATTACATACTGAAATTATGAAGTATAAAATATAGAAATATCAATTATATATTCATGTATTGTGAATTATAAGAGAAGTAAAGTATAATAAAAGATTTTTATCTATAACCGAATAAATCTCAGTTTCTTAATTTTTTTTAAACACAAATACTTCCTAATATGGATAATATATTTTTAATTTCTTATTTATATTATAAATTTTAAATTTTAATTACTGATTAACAATTAAATTCTCCCTATAAAAATATTGTTCAAACACTGTTTTTTTTGTTCAGAAAATCGACCACCAAAACTTCCATAAAAAAGGCTATTACTGATTTCTGATCATTGATCAACCTATGTGAAATACTAAATAATGGCATGAATTAATTAAGTTTATATATGAAAACAATATCAAAAGGAAGAGCTATGAATTATTCTAGCTTAGGAGCGTTTGTTGAACATGTTAAAATATCAAAATCAAATCCTAATAAGTTAAAGAGATTGGTTATATTAGAAATTGGTTTTCATCGAATTATGGAGATCTGTTGATGAAATAACAATGGATACTAGTTGGTATAATTTAATGTTCTGGGCGAAACTGAAACCTATTTGCAGGCGAAACCGCCGAAACTTGATGAAACTAGTTTCGCCATTGGTTGAAAATCCGAAACTGCCGAAACCTCCAAAATGTGACGAAACTTCCATAACTTTCATAACCTCCGAAACCTAAAAAAGGAAAATGATCGTCCTATCTAACATGCAGAAACTGCAGAAACTGCAGCTTTAAATTTTGATGCAGACTCGCAAACTAGAATATCAAGAGTTTTTACCAGATGATGATTTACTACAACGTGAAGAAAATAAAAAAACGAAAAATTTAGGTGGTAGGCCTAAGTCACTTGTATGGGGAACTTACGCTAAACAGGGTGAACAAGTATCAGACGGTCACTATGAGGCCACTTGCATGCAAAGAATTGTCATATTATGGTATAGGAAAAACAAATGAGGAAATTCGTAATATTTTGGTTTGAATCCAGGTGACGATCTTATTGAAGTTATTGATGTTGATTATGAAAGTGATGATATAGAAGCAAGAATATTTGATGAGGAGGATGATTTTATAATTAGCAGAGAGTTAAATTTGGACGCAAATGCATTTATAAAAGATTTGGACGAAATTATTGAAGATTGCGACAATATAGATATGGAGGAGGAAAATATACAAGATATAGTTATATCAGAAAATGAAAGTAGTATAGAATGGGACCCTGATATAGAAGCTGATAAAATAATTGATGATATGTAAAGTTTGTTTGCTAATAATAATAAAGAATTCAATAAACAAACAATAAATTTTAAACTTCAATTTACTTTATTTTTTATTTTACATTTAATCACAATAAATAAGTTTCGGAAATTCCAGATATAAGTAATTTAAAAATAAATGTTTCGGAAATTACGGAGGTTTGGGCATGTTACGGAAGTTTGGGCATAGTTTCGGAAGTTTACCCTACAAGACGAAATGTTTTGCCAATCGTAAAATGGTTTAGCCCGGAACATTAGTATAATTAATACATAAATAAATGCAGAATATAATTTAATAATATTTATAATATAACATATATATTAATAAGTCTATTAACAAGTATGATATTTAATATTATTATTGTAATTAATATAAAAGGATAATTGTCATATATTACAAAATTATTATTTTTTTACATTTCATTGTAATATGGTATTTTAATATATATTAAATTATTATAATAGAATTATATTGTCAATTATTACAAAATATACATTACAGGATTATTATATGGTAATCAAAAAAATAGGCACTGATAGCTAAGTATTTATTTTTATTTTAATATTTTTATTTTTATATTGATCAATTATTTCTAGTGCTAACAATATTTATTTTTATTTTAATATTTTTATTTTTATTTAAAAGGAAAGGAATAAAGAAAGGGTATCTTATATATATAATAAAAGACTAATTGTAAAAAGTATGACTTAAACTGACACACCAATATATATGAATAATTACATTTAATTAGTAATTGTAAGAGTGATACGTTAATGCAAATATCACATTGATATGAATAATCTTAAATCAAATCAAAAGTCTGTTTATTATTTAGTCATGATATTTCAGTTCAAAGTAATTTATTGACTGTGAACTCAACTATGAATAAATAATATGCATAATAAGTCATAATGATAATCATGCAGAAAGTTCTAGAATATTTAAATTTATTTTATTTTATTTTATTTTTAGAAGAGTAGTTATCAGTATCTATAACATTAACAGTATACATAAAGGAATACAGGGACTATTCAGGTTATTAGAATTGCGAATCTAATCCCACAAAGTAGACTAAGCAGTTATGCAAGACCTTCCTGTAAAAAAAGTCAATCCGTTTTTTATATTCCATCTTTTTTTCTGTAAAAGACTCATATTTCCGGAATTAATAACTTTATATCGCGGAATTTATCGAATTATTGGCATTTTCCGTGAATGGATCTGTGAAAGGCTCATTTTTACAGAGTTTTTACAGAAATAACAGATAAAATTTTTTATAGGGCCTCACTCTTCGAACTAAACTATACTGGTAGGAAATAGAATATTCAAACTACTATTATGATTTTTAATTTAATTAAAAAATTTTGTCATTTAAATTTGAAGATACAATATATCCCAGAAAATTTTTAGCAAAATAAATGCTTATTAGGGTAATCTTACATGATTAACCAATATTGCACATATTCGGTATGACGGTAGTATGTCACATCTTTCTGACAATAAATGGTGTAACGTTGGATCAATTAAATTAAAACTTACTATGTAAAGTATCATATAAAAGTTTATTTTCCAAATTCTGTGAGACAGTTGTTTCTTCATATGATACCTCCCTTTTCAAA